CGGTAAGCTATATCTACCGGCAGCGTACCAGGGCTTTTTGCAAGAGTTGGTCCGAGCTCTCTGTACCCAAACCCCCTTGCCCAACCCGCCAGTTGCCAGTTTCTCGGAGCAGGGCACATCATCGTTGGGGATTCCCCAATAGAGGGGTCGTAGTCGGCCGCTAGGGAGAGGGGCGCTAGGGAGGGTGGTTGGTCTGAGAAAGAATTTTTTGATTTGATTTAATTTAATGATTTTGATTTAATTTTTGATTTTGATTTTTTGATATGATTTTTCTAGTTTCAGGGACGCTATAAGGCAGGCGGCCTATTTGCCTTCTCGTCTTCTGGTTGTTGACTTTCTATGGTTTTTTTTGTTTCATATCTACTATTAAAAACACTTCCCTCTTCCCCTCCCCCTGCTCGACAGCAAAATTTCCGGGACAAAGTATGAAAACTCCCGGGAAACTCAGGGAAAACTGGTAGGATGTTGGGAGAATGTGAGAAAGTGGTTGGTAGGATAGGGAAGGGAGAGGTTCATACTTTCCTCGCGATTTTCGCGCATGTCACATGTGCTATATACCCACACCCCCTCCCGCTCGATTGTCGGTGAGGAAGAAACTAGGGGGGTCGTATCACCTTTTAGGGGGGGGGGGTGGTAAGGGGTCGTACGAACTCAACCAAAATCCCCATTTAACGATGTGCCCTGATCACCACGCAACTACCTTTTCTTGATGATTAAAATTGATGATCAGAAACAGGAGTTTCTTCTACGCATTGGTTCAACCCTAATAAGGCTCCCATACGATCAGATGACCCGGCTATGGCTAGAAATGGTTACCAAGAAAGAACGAAGTTGTGACGATATATACCATTACATATTCAGTTTAGGAATGCAACGAATACGGTATTGCGTCGCACGGCGGAGGTGAATCGGTCTATAATTGCTACTCACCTCACATAACAACACTGTGTCCTTACGATGCGCACAATTCGGTTATAATTCTCTTCGGTATTACAGTTTAAGTGACATGAGAGTGGGGAGATGAGGGAGAGGGGTGAATTCACCTCTTTCGATGAGGTCATCATCATCATTGACTGGAAAAAATCGTGGCATGTGAACGCGATTTTTTTTATTTCAAACAATCCACGCCTCTTAGTAGCCTCAATTGCAGCCGTAAGTAGCAGCAGCAGCAGTTCTACGAACGGAGAAAATAACTACGGTAGAGACGAGACGATTTGGTGTGGTGTTTTCGAGGTAAGAGCCGTAAATGGACGCTTCGCAGACTAGATTACTTCAATGAGATTGCGCCTCGGCGTTGAGGGGGGTTTTTGGCCGGTTTTAGATAAATTTGAGGCACACTAATGGATTAGAATTAGCACAAAGTGTCGTGTTTAGAGTCCATCTTTCCCAATGGTGCTAG